CAACCATCTATAGTGGGATCTGATGCCCTCTTCTGGCATAAAACATAGACCTCTGTGGCCAGGGAGGCCTGGAAAATGAAGAATTGCTTCTCACCCATTTTACAGATAGGAAACTGAAGGCAAACAAAGGCAGAGGATTTGCCCAAAGGTGCACAGTGATAGAGTAGAGCCTGGCTTCTTCAAGTCCCTGATTCATCCAGACACCTACATGCTGGGATCTGTGGCTTTCCCTGGCATGCTGTCCTGAGAATAAGCCCTCATACCAATTTCCAAAGCCCTGCCATGTGCCACCATAACCCTCGGTGCACCAGCAGCTACGTACTTGGCACCATCTCCTTGCTGTCCCCTCCCTCTGAAACCTCCAGCTCACATTGGCTTACATGCTCTGACGGCCATATGTATCACTATGGTCACCACATTCCAGCCCTCTGTGTGTCATTTCCCACACACTCCCTGCCAGCTCAAACGTCAGCCAAGTGGTAAACTGTCCAAGTCCACAGCTGTCCCTGGGGACCTGTTACATGGCACCTGGGACCTCAGGACCAGGAGCAGACACCTGAATTCCTGCCTAACCTACAGAACGTGTGAAAGAGAAGATACAAAGGGACCCTGGGGGCTGGGTGTTTGCATTCAGCCAAGCACGTGGCCATTCCCTCAAGCTGCCCTCCTACCGCAGCAGAGGCAAAGTTATGGGGGCATCCCTTTTGGAGATGCAGCCTCCAGTCTGGAGGGGGGAGCCCATGCCCCTTCTGTGATGCACAGGACATTGTTGCTAAAGATGCAGAATGAGTCAGCATCAGAGGGCCAAACAGAGTGTGACTGTGTGCAACAGGAGATTCTGTGAACGAATCAGCAAGCCAGAGATCAAAAGAATTCATCAAAACAAGACCAAATTAATAGCAGACACACACCGAGTAGGCTGAGCAGAGGCACAGTGTAGGGAAGGGGCTGGGATGTGTCTCAGGGGCGGAGCACTTACTCATATTTCACAAGGTTGTGGGTTCCACCCCGAGCATCCCCTCCACCAAGTAAACAAAACACATAGCAAAATGGTGGCAATGACCTGGACCTAGAGATTAAGTAATTTAAAGGCCTCTGTGAACCAGTTGTACACTTACACATCTGAAAACCTAAAAGATGGGGAATCGAGCAATTCTTAGGAAGGTACAAGGCACCAGAAGAGGGGCCTGGAGCGACCAGTGGGTGGTGTGTGCAAGCTTGAGGGCATGGATATGAATCCCCCAAATAAAACAGCTGAGTCTGGCAGTACTCATCTGCAGAGCCAGCACTGGAAGGCAGAGACGGTGACTCCAGGTTCAGAGAGAGACCCCGCCTCAAAAAATGATGTGCAGAGCCACAGAGGAGGCAACTCTGGCCTCCACACCTGTATCCAGGGTGGATACATTCACTCTCAAGCACACAGACACTAAGATGTGAAGACTCGCCCAGGAACAAGCGGAGGAATTGAAGTTGAGGAGTTATAGTTCCAGATCTGGAGCGGCAGTCAAGACCCTCCCAACCTCAGATCATCATCCCCGGGGGCGCTGGAGGCATAGCTGTGCCGACCCCAGGAAGCAATTCTTGTGTTGTACAAGTTGCACGGCGAGACTGGAAGGGGAGGGTAAGCTGCCTAAGGAGCTGTTTGATAAGCGACCAACATTACAAGAGCTAGATAAACCCACAAAGGAATGTTGCAGGCCCATTTCATTTAGAGCACAGATGGAGACACTAAATAAAACACTGGCTAAATCCAGAAAAATAACCGCATTCCCTCACTATCAGGAAGTTTATCCCAGAGAAAACATCAACAGTAGAGAGCTGGCCAGCATATCTGCCTCAGAGGATCAAGGGGGAAAAAATAGCCCAGTGTTCATGAAGCCTGAGCACACACAGCTCTTGGACAAGGTCCACAGTCTTCATGGAAAAGCGTTACCTTCATCTCGTGGAGCTTTTCATGCCCCCAAGCTGCATCTATGTCCTTAAGGGGCCAGGAAAAGGCGGGAGCGGCAGGTACTGCTGCCGTGCTCCGGGGCTGAGCCAGACAGCCAGGCTTGTAAGGAGAGAAAGGAAGAGAGGCCATCCCTGGAGGCAGACGAGGCCAGACAAATCCATGGAATATTAGATGGGATTCAGAAAGGCTTCCAGGTGCGTGGTCACCAACAATGACAGCAACAACAACACAAAGCCATTTTTACATCAGCAGTACCCGACCAAGAATACTCAGACTCATGTCAGCTCAAATAGGAGGGCCTGTGAGGATTATGTGAATATGAAAAACAATAGTGACATACAGTCATATGTATGCACATATCATTACCGCCTTAATTGTGTGAAGTAAGTCTATAAGGAGCCTCCAAGGCACATATGTAGCACTAGGGTCGGGGCCTTTCTGTGTAACCCAAGCTAACCTAAACTGGGTATCCACCTGCCTCAGTCTATAAGTACTGGGATGATATGTGTGCTCCCCCATGCCTCGCTCCAGTCTCCTTTTTTTTTTAGGATTTTAAAAAAGATTTATTTATTTATTATGTATACAGTATTCTGCCTGCATTCATATCTGCATGCCATAAAAGGGTACCAGATCTCATTACAGATGGTTGTGAGCCACCATGTGGTTGCTGGGAATTGAACTCAGGTCCTCTGGAAGAGTAGTCAGTGCTCTTAACCTCTAAGCTATCTCTCCAGCCCCTGCAGTCTCCTTTAAAGTCTTATTTTATGTCCCCCTGTACATGAGATCTATCTTGAAGATACCCTCATGGTCCAAGGTGGCTGCCCAACTCCACCATTGCGTCTCTGGCCAGAGACAAGAGGAAGGAAGGCGTGCTGATGAGACAAAAAGGGAGTCTTTCCTTTTGGGGAATAGTCTGGGAATCTGTACCCATTGCTTTATGCAGATCTCACGGCAGGAAGCTAGCCACGTGGCTTTGCCTAGCTGCCAAGCCAAGCATGTCTCTGTCTTAAACAAACTCTGGTCTTGATAAAGACGGTTATTGGCATGGGCATCATGCAGGTCTGTCTGAGGCCCAGAGAGGGTTTGGAGTTTTCATACAGCCACAGAGCAAGTGAACCACCAAGCTGGGGTGTCAAGCTTGGCTCAGGGGTGACTGCACACCTCAGCATGCCCAGCTGCTTCTCACTCCCCACCTGCCTGACTCTGGGCCTGTGCCCCATTCTTCTGCCCCCCCTACCTAACCAAATGAATGTGACCCCCCTTTCCAATTTCCCTGGTGTCATGCCTTCCTGTGGCACAGCTTAGACCCAGTAAACAAGAAGGACCAGGGAGGGAGCTACAGACAGCAAGTCCCCACACTGGTCACACCAGAGATGGCTTTTACCACTCACAGAGGAAGGTACAGCCTGCGTGTGACCAGGAGGGAGCATGTGGACTCCCTGCTTGTTTGTTTTCTAATGAGTTAGGGTCTTGCTTTGTAGTCCAGGCTAGCCCCCTGTGTTCTGGGCTCACAGGAGTGTTCTGGGCTCACAGGAGTGTTCCACTGTAACTGGTGGAGGTGTTGGGGGCCACAGCCTTCCTTCCTTTTTTCCTTCCTTACTTTCCTTCCTTCTTTCTTTCTTCCTCTCTCTCCTTTCTCTCTCTCTCTCTCTCTCTCTCTCTCTCTCTCTCTCTCTCTCTCTCTCTCTCTCTCTCTCTCTCTCTCTCTTTCTTTCAAGCAGAGTCTCATGTAGCCATTCTAGACTCAAACTCACTATGTAGCCAAGGACCACCATGGCCCCCAAGTGCTGGGACTACAGGCGTGCATCACCACGTCCAGTTCATTATGCAATGCCAAGGAACCCAGTGATGTGTACACGCCAGGCCCACACTCTACCAACTGCGCTGTAGCCCTGGCCCTCATATCCCATGTCTTTATACCCCACGCCCACTGATGGAACCTGAGGGATGTTCCCTGCACCCAATAGCTGGAACAATGAAGATGTCCCACAGCTGGTGGTGTGAATCCTGTTTTATTCTCCACATACTCCCGCACAGTCCAGCGCCCAGGAGGCTGCATGGCCACCAGGCACCTTCGACTCTAAATAGACAGGGCTTCTGTGCTGGGTCCCTTCTCTGGGCATTTGATCATGCTCTTCCCTCTGGAACATTCTGCCTCAGAGCTTTGTTGGTTCTCAGAAATGGCATCTCCCCCAGAAGGTTGTACCCCAGCCTTAGTCTGAGCAAGGGAGTCCCCTCAGTGTTTCAATTGCTGCCCCCATCTCCCAGGGCCCGGTTCCCAGGTCTGTGCTGTGTGTCCAGTCTACAGAGCCTCTCAGAGCTGGTGCAATTCAACAAAGATGATTTGTCTTAGTCAGATCAGCGGGGTCCAGCCAGTGCCAGCAGCACATAGTAGGCTCAGCCTGCTCACTCTTGGCCACACTTAGCCACCTTTGAAGCCCAGGAGGCAAGACAGCGAGACTCCTGGTTGTCAAGAGCAGCCAGGCTGCCAGGGAAGCTCTGCTCTGGGTCACACCCACCTCTGGGTGGCTGCCAGTCTCCCTGCCAGAAACCGCAGGCTGGGTCTGGGCTGCCCAGAGTTCGGGCCACAGGCCTCAAGACGCTGTGGGTCAGATCTGCAAAGGGGTGTTTGCTGGACGCTTCTGGTCTCCACAGGCCCCTGGGGGTGGGACAGGGGCCCTGGCAAGGCTGCAGCTGCTGTGGCAGTGGCTTGGGCTGGAGGCTTTTCTTCTGGGAGCTGAGGAGCTGAGAGCCTCCTGCCGGCTTGTCCTTAACTCTTGGCACTAGAGGTGGCTTGGGCGTCACAAGCTGTCAGACGCCTTCTTGGTGGCCTCAGCGGCCTCATCTTCAGGTAACTGGGCTCATTCCTGAGACTATGGGGAGAAGAGTTAGAACTGTAAGTGGTGTGTGTGTGTGTGTGTGTGTGTGTGTGTGTGTGTGTGTGTGTGTGTCTGCCTGTCTGTCTCTCTGTCTCTCCCCCCCCCCGTGTATTTAACTATTAGGAACCTCATAGCCTCTAGAACATAAAGACTCAGGTCTTGCCTCCCAGGTTTGAAGCTGGCTCCACAAGGGACACGGTGACATGAGGGGCACCCCGCTGACCCATCTTCTGGCCATCTCCTTCCTTTGCCTACTCTCAATGGTAAGGAATCCTGCTCTTCCAAAGTAGAATTCTGGGTGCACAGGTATATATGGTCACAACTAGGGACCCTTAGTGGGTCCCTGCACTGGATAAAGTTGTTCTCTCTGCCCAGGATTGCTCCCTTCCTGGACGCAGACCGCTGCTCCTTGCAAGTGCTGCTGTGTGACCTCAGGCATGTATATGCCCTTCCCTTCTGAGCCTCAGCCTTGGTTGAATGGGTACAGAAACCCCGTTGGTTAGATCACTGAGGAGACTTACTCTGCAGAGGGTAGCACAGGCCCTGGACCACGATGAGTGTCCTAAAGAGGACAATGACCAGGCAGGGACCCTCCAGTCTCCTCTGCAAAAACTAAATCAGATTAGGTGTTGTGTAACACTAAACCAGGACAGGGATGGAAGTTGGGGTCTGATTGCAAAGTACAGTCTGTAAGGGCACAGAGTGCTGGCCCTCAGGCAGTCAGTGATCCTCTGACCCTGGCCAGAGAGAGCAGGAGACATCTCTGTGGGTAAATGTTCCTCAGTGTCACATGGAACATTTTTTAATGGGCTTGTGTGTATAGCTCTGCCTTGTCTCACATTCACAACAGTCTTACAAGGTGTTTTCATGTTTTAGTTAAACGAGACTCAGAGAGGGTAAGCAATTGCCCAAAGTCACACAGCAAAGAAATAGAACAATAGAAGAGTAGCATGATGGAGCCTGGGACAGAGATGGTGTGTTCTGAGGACACCCAGTCTGTGCCTCCACCCCAACCTGGGCAATGCCTGGGGCCAATGGAGTATGGGCATAAACTTCTCCTCTCTGGCCCCAAGAGGTCTCCCTGGAAGGGTCAGGACAACTGGCTTCCCATCTTGGGAGGGGATGGGCAGAACAAGATGCTGGCTGGGCCCCCCGGGAGGGAGAGCTGCCCTAGATTCGCCACAGGAGAGACATCTGTGAGGCCATTCTTTCCTGGTCCCAGCAAGTTGATTGGCACCTGGCACAGAAACCGGGGATGCAGTCATGGAGATATGTGCAGTTGCCTCCTTCCGGGGGACAGGAGTTCCAGGTCTCTGGGCGGGCCATGGGCTCCTGGCTCTGGACTGGGGCCGGAACAGGGAACCTGGAAACAATGAAGCCCTGTTGAGACAGCTTGAATGTGAGGACACAGAGAGGGAACAGGAGAGCAGGGAGGCCAGAGGGGGCGCCTCTTCCATGGCCAGGCAAGAATACTTGCCCTGTCTTGTCACTGTCCTTTCACAAACGAGTAGGCTGAGGCAGGGGATCAGCTGCTAATGGAGGAGCCCCTGAAGGAAGACAGGTAAGTTAGGGCTCAGACTTCCCAGGAACCTGGATTCTGGTCCTATCCCCACCACTTTCCAGCTGTTCACTTCTTGATTTCGAGCTGTTTTGGACTTTATTTTGAACCAAATGGCCTCTGTAGCCCAGGCTGGCCTGGAACTCACTATACAGCTCTGGCTGAGTTCAAACTTGAGGCAATTCCCCTGCCTCAGACTCCCAAGTGTTATTTCTTCATCTTTAAATCAGACCAGCTGCCATACCTTACAGGAGAGTGCTAAAAGGACAGCTTGCCCACACAGCACCCAGTAACTGGTGTTGTTAGTGGGTTGTCCAGGAGTCGGGACCTGGAGAAGCCAGGAGCTACCGGGGGCCTGCAGCAGGCCTGGGGCTCAGTAGAAGAGTTCTGGTCAGCAAAGGGAGTTAAAAACCCTGCTCTGAAGTCCTACCTCCTCGCAGTCTGGCTCCAAGTGAGGTACCCCAGAATGTATTATATCCCACATTTAGGATACACAGAAGGCCTGGAGAGGTGACAGTGTGTGTTTATTACAAGTTCCCAGAGGCTGCTGGTCCAGGAACCCTTTGGAATCTCAAATTCTGCTATGCTCTGCCTTAGGTGGGAGCCCCTGGTCAAGGATGGTCAGCTATTCTGTGGCGGCCCCTGCTGGCCGTAGTGAGAACTGTGGGCCCTGGAAAGCAGGTTTTGGGGAACTCTGGGTCCAGGGCTGCACAGGATGGGGCTCCTGAAGTAAAGGGATCACTACCCCTTTGGGCCAATCAGGAGGCTTTGAGTCTTTAGTTTTCTTTTCCTAAATCACAAATCCTCCATGTAAAGCTGTCTACTCCTGCTAAAGAGTGATCCTCCACAGCTGAGGCAGGCAGTCAGGAACATCTTGAGTAGTACCCTCATGGTCCCCACCCTCTCGGGAGTCCATGGCTTCAGGCACTTCATTTGGGTATTTCTGTCCTGAGTGGGAGGCGCAGTTGTGTAATTGGGGTGAAACCTTGGTCCTGAATGGATGGGTACTGAGCCCCTGGCTCAGTATTTATTATTATTATTATTTTACTATATATTACTATTTTGGTTTTTTCGAGACAGGGTTTCTCTGTATTGCTTAGAAGCCTGTCCTGGAACTCCCTCTGTAGACCAGGCTGGCCTCAAACTTACAGAGATCCACCTGCCTCTGCCTCCGGAGTGCTGGGATTAAAGACATGTGCCACCAATGCCCGGCCCTTGGCTCAGATTTCGTCCGTTATAGGAGAAGTCTCCTCCTCTGGGGCCGTGAGTGCACATCAGGGAGGTGGGCTTGGAACAGCTCCCAGATCACTTTCCCCTTTGGAGTCAACTTCCCATCCGTGCAGGGTGGTGTGGGAGCCGAGAAAAGTGGGGACTGAGGATGAGGTGGGGGGATGGGGCGGGGAGTTGAGGTGGCCTGAGCCAGAAAGTAAGTCTGTGAACCTAGTCGAATCTAGAAGCTTCTAGCCAGCTTATTAAATAGATTGCAGGTCTCCGCCTCTGTGACTTCTAGTTTCCTGAGTCCTGGAGAAGGCCTGGGAATCTGTATTTTCCCTTTCCCGGCTAATCTGATGTGTACCGAGGGCTGGGAGACATGTTGGATTGTGCCAAGACCAGGAAACTCCACATTCTGCTTGAATTTTTTGGTCTGAAGGTAAGAACTCGGTAGCCTTCTTTGCAATGAGCAATGATCTCCACATCCAGGAGGCTGGGGAGACAGCTCAGTGGCTAAGGTACTTGCTGCGCAGGCTTAAGGACTTGAGATCGGTTCCCCAGCACCTGCATGGAACAGCTGGGCACAGTGGGACACGTCTGTACCCCAACCTGTCCTGAGGGTGCAGAGAGACGGACAGATCCCCAGGGCTCACTTGCCTAGGCAGCCTAACCAATTGGTGATCACCAGGCTCAATGAGAGACCTTGTCTCAAAATAAAAATGGAGAATGATAGAGGCGGCCATGGGATGTTGATCCCTTCACATTTGTACACATGCACCTGCATACCACACATACATGTGCATCCCCCCAAAAAAGCGAACTATATTGCTGACCTCTTACCCATGCTCAGGGGTTGGTGGCGTCATTTTCTGCCCTCTTTTACAAATGAGGAAGCCCAGGTTTGGAGAACTCAAGGAACTCTCAGTCAACTCAGCCAATAAGGCAGAGCCTAGAACTGAAACTCTGACCTGGGGTCCTTGCTCCAATGCACAGAGTCATGCGGCCTCTGAAGAGCACCATGGGACAGTCCCAGCTCAAGACCAGTTCTGTGTGACACTGAGGCCAAGATAAGGGTCCCACACTGTCTGATTGGCCAAGAAGTGACCAGTTGTGAGAGTCTCCATCCCTTCCACGAGAGTCAAAGCTAAGTGAGGTCTCTGTCTCCTCAGGTGTGGGCCCAGCTGTGTCCAACATCCTGTACTTGTCCGTGGACACCACCCCAGTGCCCACTGGGGGTGCCCCTGGTGCTGGATGGCTGTGGCTGCTGTCAAGTGTGTGCGCGGCGGCTGGGAGAGTCCTGTGACCGTCTGCATGTCTGCGACTCCAGCCAGGGCCTGGTTTGTCAGCCTGGGGCAAGCCCTGGTGGCCAGGAGGCCACGTGCCTCTGTAAGTAGGTTTCCTGGACTAATGGTGGGGGTGGGGGGGTGGGGGGGGTGTTGGAGGGGTGTGGGGGGGGTGTAAAGACCATGGGGTCTATAGTCAAAGTGGAGTCCTGCTCTCTGTATCTCTCTACCTCACTTTAGGAACTGTGCTCATTTAGCTCAACCGGTGACTCAAGGGGGTTCCTGTGCCACTCCCTGCTTCTTCCCTCTGGCCCGCAGCTGGGACTTCCCTGGTGGTGATTTCCATCCACACCCATCCAAGTCACAGCTCCAAAGCTGGGCAAACAGCTGCCCCAAGGCAAAAGCACATGCCTGTGGAAAGCCAGGGTGCCAGCTCCGATGGGGCATGGTGTGTGCCACAAACAGTGCTGGTCACTCATTGTTCATGACCCACAGTCCTGCTGCACAAGTGCTGCAAACAGGGAAACTGAGGCTCAGAGGCGTTAGACAGCATGCCCCATCTCCAGTCAGATTAAGTAACCGGCCACTCCCTCCATCCCCCACTGAGAGCCTTGGGCTGTAGTGTGAACCCCAGTGACATTGGAAGTGTGACATTCCTCACCACTCCCTCAGGCCTGAGTGTCCTCTGACACTCTGGGGCAGGATTTGGTGACTATGCACCAGGGCCACCGCTGGGGAAAGGCTCTCTGTGGCCTGACAGCACCACCCTCTGTGCCTATGAGGTGCCAGAATCAGCTACCAGTGGTGACCTTGGCAAGGTCACCAAAGAGCAAAGTCAACCCAGTTGAGAACTTTAGAGAAACAGAGGTTTAGATCTCTACAATTCATCTAAGCGACGAAAAATGACCCCATTCGCTCTCTTTCTTGCTGCTGTTCTCTGCTCCAGACACACCGGCCTTGAACACCCAACGCATGGTTTCAGCCTCAGGGCCTCACTCTTTCCCTAGATACACACGGAAGTTCCCGACTTCCCTCCCATTCCTACTCACACGCTGTTTCAGTCATGAGGCCCTGGCACCATGTTTTAAAAACTGCAATTTCTCGCTGGCACCTTGGTTTCTCCAGCCAGCGCAACCTCAGCTCGATGGCTGTGTTCATTTTCATTGGAGTGCCCCAATGGGGAGGATGTTTGCCCATTTGTGCACATATCCTGAGTTACAACTGCTTGGCACGCAGTCTAGGCCACAGCAGGTACTCAGCGAACATCTGTGGTGGTCCGTGGATGACGGCAGAGGTTCTAGTAGGTCTGGCAGTAACGGGAGTCCTTTCTTGAGTAAGTTCAATGGGGAAATGCTTTACAAGTCAATTTTGCTTTATCCTCGACACTGAGGTAGATCCTAATGTTGCCCCAATTTTGCGAGCGGGGGAGCTCAACTCAGAGAGGCTCAAGTCACTTACTTAGGTCACACACTTGGCAAGTAGAGGGAGGGAAAAAATAGCTCTGTGATTCCTACCTTTGACAATGACTTCCAGAGGGGAGAAAGGGTACTGAGAGTCCCCAGATGGCAAGCCTGTGGCTTGTGCTCAGGGGAGCCTGGGGACCTCAGGTGAAGGCTGCTGTCATGGGAGGGTAGGGGAGGTTGCTGGCAGAGGGGACCCTGAAGAAATCTTGGAAGAAACAAGGGTTTGGGCAGCTGGACATGGGTCCAGCTGGGTAGGAGAATCCCGAGATGTTTCATGGGGTTTGCAATTTCAAGGCACCTCTCACAGAGCATCTACCCTGCTGAGGGATTGGCTGCCCAGCCCCATTCGCCCCCCAGCCAGTCAGCTCCCAGCTGATGGCCTCTGAGGTGTCAGGAACACTTGCTAAAATTATCACCCTCTAGTTGACTTTCCTAAACACACCTCTGTTTACCAGGTTATTCTGGTAACTAGGGGCCCAAAGCTGAGGTAGCAGAGGTCAGGTGTGTGTGTGCGTGTGCATGTGCATGTGATGGGTGTGCTGGGTTGAACCCAGAGGTAGCAAGCCAGATAGGGAGTAAGGCACAGAAAACACCTGTGTGGTTTCTAGGGAAACACTGGAAACCAGACCAGAAGATCTAGTCTTTGTATCCAAGGGGCTGTGATCTGGAGGCATTTGGGACAGGGAGCTGATACAGTTGTCCTCTCTAGAGAAATAAGGGGACACGAGGAGGAGCACTCTGGGCTCTAGCTCTCCAGGGAGGTGGCAATGTGGCCCGCTCCTAGAATTTAAGTAGCTACTGCAAAGTCCCACTGCCAACATGTTAAACCTTGGCATACATTGATGACCCCACCCAGGGAAAGGACAGAGAGGTTGTTATGTGAAACCCCAGGCTCAGTGAGCTTCACTGATGAACACTGAATTATCACTAACTTCACAGAGTCTCCAGCCCAGGCTGGCCTTGAACTTCTGAATCTCTTGTCACTACCTCCCAAGTGCTAGGGTTGCAGGAGTGCCACCAAGCATGCCACCACACCGAGTTTATACAATGCTGGAGATCGAACTCAGGGCCTCGATCATGCTGGGTAAGCGCTCTACCAAGCGAGCCCCATGATGTTACCCAAGGCTTCATTTTGTCAGATTTGTTACAATTTATTTCGTCTAGGACACACTGTGAAATAAGTACCAACATATACTGTTTTTCATATAGAGAAACTGAGGCAAGACGTGAAATCGCTTGGCCCATCGTTAAGAAAATTTAGAGCTGGGGTCCACGCCAGGCTCCTGGATGCTTCTCTGTCTTGCTGACTAGGGAGGAAGGCCAATGGGGGAGGGGCGTGGTGAGCAGCTGGGCTGGGACAGGGCACCTGTCTTGTGCTCTGGCCCCAGGACCCAGAGCTGGTCTGCTTTCTCCTCCCTGTGCAGTGGAAGAGGAGGATGGAGGCTGTGAGGTGAACGGACGCAGGTACCTGGACGGGGAGACCTTCCGGCCCAACTGCAGGGTCCTGTGCCGCTGCAATGATGGTGGCTTCACCTGCCTGCCACTGTGCAGTGAGGATGTTCGTCTGCCCAGCTGGGACTGCCCACGCCCCAGGAGAGTGGAGGTGCCTGGTAGGTGCTGTCCCGAGTGGGTGTGTGACCAGGGAGTGATGCCCAGGACCCAGCCTTACACCGCCCAAGGTGAGTGAGTGTCGGGTAGGCCCAGGCCACCAAGGCCTCAGCTGCTGGGGTTGGGGACAGGATGTTGGGATACTGCAACAGCCTCCTAGAAACTGACAGCAAAAGAGGCAACCACTTAGAGACATAATTTCAGCTAATAAATCATTTAAAATAAGGTTCGATGGACTTGAGATACGGCTTGAGGAGCCTGGTTCAGTCTCTAGCACCAATATGGTAGTTCACATGTTTTATAACTCTAGTCTTAGGGTGTCCAATGCCCTCTTCTGACCACTGCGGTGCCAGGCATGCACAAGGCACACATACGTATGTGAGGCAAAACATACACATAAAATAAAAATAAATCTTAAAAAAAAGAGTTCATGTTCCGGTGACAGAGTGGAGAGAGGGAGGAGTGTTAACACTCGAGCTAAATTTGTGCATCTTACAGCAGTGGTAAATATAGTGTAGATAATAAATACAATATACACTAATGTAATGTGACAAAATATAGATGTACATAGAACGTATATTTACGGTATTTAATACATGTGGACAATTTATAATATTATGATTACTTGATTGTTTGGATTTAGTAAACAGTTAGGTAAAAGCTGAAGCAGGCAGGACTTTTGGGATGAGTCACTCTATGTGGTTGGGGGCTGTTGGATATGTTGTGGGACACAGAAAGACAAACCTGGCCTCTACATTCTGGATGCCAGTGTCAATCCCCCCCAAAAAACCCTTGTATACATTGACTGTGACGACTGAAAGTCTCTCTAGTCTTTGCCAGCTGTGCTCTTGGTCCTCGGGGCTAGAAGGAATGTTATCAAACGTAAGAGAAGAGGAGAAGAGATAGACCACGGTGAACCTGTGATGTTGAGTCCTTCAGCATTATTGCCACCAAGCTACAGTGCCACACGTGTGTCTGTAGGATACCATGTATCGGGGAGCAGGAGGGGAGAAAAAAGGAAAGATGTCCCTTTTTAGTTGTCTCATGTCCAATGACAGCAGGGTGCCCTGCACTTAGACTCCCCAGCAATTGTTTTATTCAACCACAACTGTTAGGAAGTTCAGGAAGAAACTAAGGCTAAGCAGCTCCACCAGGGACCCTGTGATGGCTAACAAGTGAGCAGACTTGCCTGCGGATCCCCGACTTCTCCACGTTCACCCTCTCCTTTTCAACCCCCAGGATACCAACTTTCTGTCACTCCTGCATCTGCTGATGTCCCCTGTCCAAATATTAGCACAGCCTGGGGCCCGTGCTCAACCACCTGTGGGCTGGGTATAGCCACTCGAGTTTCCAACCAGAACCGATTCTGCCAACTGGAGATCCAGCGCCGCCTGTGCCTGCCCAGACCCTGCCTGACAGCCAGGAGTCACAGCTCATGGAACAGTGCCTTCTAGAGCCACCTGGGGACGAGATACAGAGCCTGCCATTCTCAGTGGGTGGCCCTAGGACTTGGCCCTGGGCTGATGGTGCAAATCTCCTTCCATGCTCTTGCTGCAGTTAACTGTCCTGGTGTGTTCACTGTCCAGGGCCACTGAGGAATGCCTGCTCTGTCTGAGGTAGATGAAGCACATGATCAGCTCCATTTTCTAATTCAGCCTGGGATTCTGATCCAGGCTTCTGGGTTCTCCTGGCTAGTTCCTTATTAAACATGCACAGTATGAAAAAAAAAACACCAAAAGGATCTTTTCAGCTAAGCTGAGCTGTGCAAGCCTGGCCACTATGCTGGAGATAATGGGGATGAGGAGGTGCCAGGCATCAGATTGCCTGAAACTCCCAATCCCTTCTGGGACTTCTGTGCACTTGTTCCCAAAGTCAAGATTATAGGTGGACTCATGGGCCTGGCTTCCCTGGTCTGAGAATACCCTGCCTGCCCAGGGAGAATTCAGTGGCAGAATTCTCTGTGAACATGAAGAGGTGAAATCATGCTGCCCCGAGGAGTATCTGCAGGACCCATGAACTTCACTCTATTCGTAAGAACACACGTTTCTTAAGCACCAGACCAGCAGGAGGTTCACGGCTCCACACTCCTGGCAGACCAGGGCTTTCCAGCACGAGGAAGACAAGGGACAGCAGAGTGTCCTCTGAAGGGCAGGATCAACCTGGGATAAACAGCCCAACCACGTGTGGAATTTTGTTTGGTGTCCTGTGTTTTCATGTCAAAACAAAACCAAAACCAAAACAAACAAAACCCCCACCTAAATATAAAATTTACATCCTCTTCCATGGGCCGCTTGGTGTTTATTTTAGAAATAGAAGTGGGGTGGGGGTGGACAGCCTCATTGGTAAAGTTTTTGCCAGGAAAGCGTGAGAACCCAGATGAATACCTGGACTTTACATACAAAAGCCAGGTGTGGTGATGCTCTCTCGTGATGCCTGTACTGAGGAATCAGAGGCAGGAGGATTCCTAGGGCTCCAAGGCCAGTCAGCATAGCTACTTAATAAATTCCAGGCCAGTGAGAGACACTGTCTTAAAAAACAATGGACAGCTCCTGAGGTCCTACACACGTGAGCATGCGTGCTCACACACACACACACACACACACACACACACACACACCACCACCACCACCACCACCACAAACAACAAATACTTTTTTGTTGTTTTGTTTTTTTGAGACAGGGTCTCTCTGTGTAACAGTCTTGGCTGTTTTAGAAATTGCTTTGTAGACTAGGCTGGCCTCAAACTCAGAGATTCACCTGCCTCCTCTGCCTTCCAAGTGCTGGTATTAAAGGCGTGTGCCACCATGCCTGGCAACAAATACATTTCAAATTGGTGTTATCATCAAGCCAGGCAATCAGAGAAGTCTCTGGTCAGTGTGTGTGGCAGCACATGCCTCTAGGTCAGAACTCCAAGGAAAAAGCAGGTAGATGAATCTTGAGGCCAGCCTGGTCTACATATTGGGTTCCAGGCCAGCCAGAGCTACACAATGAGATCCTGATCAAAAACCAAAAGCTAAATGAACAACAAAAATAGTCTCTGTGCTTAAGTAGTGGTTTTCTCCATGAAATGTTGTTGAGATGCGTGTAATTCACACAGTTAGATGCACAAGCTACAAACCTGTCTTAAAGCCTTTACAACCACACACCCGTGTAACCAACACCTCCATTCAGGTATGTAATGTTTCCATCACCTCAGAAAAGTCTGCTCTTCCTGCCTGTCCCCTTCTAGTGACCAGATGAGCCCCGTCCTATCTGATTTCCATCTCCACAGGTGAGTTTGCCTGTCCCTGAGCTTCGTACATTTGAAGCCACGTGTTCCTTAGTGAGTGGCATGTCCCGTTCAACAGACTGAAAAAAGAAGAAACGCTAAGTGTAGGTACTGAGGCCATCTGAGAAACCAACTAGAGATCCAAGCTCGGTGAAAGTGAGAGCAGCCACTGGCAGGGGCTAGGTTGTCAAACCCAAAGCTGGCCTGAAGGCAGGAGGAGAAGGAACCTCAGGGTGTAAGGCTGCCAGTCTCTCAGAGTCACCAAACAGGGAGGACAAGGGCAGCCTTCGTGCTTCTGTGTCATCAGAACAATGGAGGGCCGGGACGGGCTCTCCTTGTGTGAAGAGATGGTGCTGGGCTCATAGATGAAGACCTTCCTCCCTTCCTTCCTCTCTTCCTTCCTCCCTTCCTTCCTTCCTTCCTTCCTCCCTTCCTCCCTTCCTCCCTTCCTCCCTGCCTCCTTCCTGCTTTCCTCCCTTCCTCCCTTCCTCCCTTGGTCTTTCATAGCTGAGCTTCCTGGGTCTGGCTGTCTGGTTTGCACTCACTTCCTTAGTGCTGGCTTGGAGCAGCAGGGGAACTGCGACCCTCTGCTCTCTGGAGACTTCTTTGTTGGCTGAAGCTGAAGCTCCCAATGGGGAGCCAGTCTCTGTGGACTGGGGCACCCCATCTTCCTGCATGTTGGAGATACTGAAGATGGGGCTCCCTTAGTGGAAGGCAGAGAGCAAGATCCCTGGCTTGCCAAGACACCCAATCCCTTAGTGGAAGGCACAGAGAGAGAGAGAGAGAGAGAGAGAGAGAGAGAGAGAGAGAGAGAGAGAGAGAGAGAGAGAGAGAGAGAGAGAGAGAGAGAGAGAGAGTCCCTAGCCTGCCGAGATGCCCAACAACTCTAGAGAACCTGGCCCTGTAGACCTTGCCCTGGGGTTGGCACCAAGTACCATTTTGTGAGCATTTACTGTGTCCTGGTGCACTTCTCCATGACCTTGAAGGGATTCCTGCTCTACAGAGGAGAACCTGAAACTGGAAAACAATTACAGCTACTATCAGGGCTGGGAGGCTCAGAGCCAGTCAGACCCACAGCTTGTGTGCTCTCTCCCCCACCCCACCCCTCTCTCTTCCCTTTCCCTCTTAGTCTTCCCCTCTGTCTCTCCCCTCCTCTCTGTTTTAAATCTCCCTGCTTGTCTCCCATTTTGTCTTTTTCCTTCCCTCTCCCTTTTCTTTCTTTCTTTCTTTCTTTCTTTCTTTCTTTCTTTCTTTCTTTCTTTCTTTCTTAACTTTAACTGAAGTATTATCAACTATCCCTGCACACATGGTCAATTGTTGACTGTTTAAGAACAGCCTGGACCCCTCCCCGCCCCCTGCAGCATCTGGTCCAAGCAGGATGGTGCATTTCCTGAGTCCCCTGAGTGCCCACTTCACTAAAATCTGTGTATTATTAGTGGTTTCAAATGGGCTTTGGAAGAGGAACCAGTGACATGGTGCTGCTGCCAGTGATATTGTTAAGTGTGAACAGTGGAGAGTCCGTCAGCTGATGGAAGTCCTGAAACTGAGGTCATTGCCGCCCCCTGTTGCCCAGATGTAAAAGTGCAGCCTATTTGAAGATCGCTCAGCAAGCTTCCATGTGAGGTGGTGACAGAGGCAGCTAGTTTTATCCCCCCTTGGGGGAGGGTACTTTGCTCTTTTTCTATTGTGCCGAATGTATTATTTAATCCTCGGGCCCTGAGTCACGGTACCCTGTCTGTCCGATGGATGACCCATCATGAGTGCCCTCTCCCATTGGCCGCCCTGCATAACAAGGAAGACCTCTGTAAGCACAACCATGACTAAGTCACTCTTAAAAGCCCTCTGGGACCTTGAGATAACCCTCCGCCTGAATGGACCAGATTCCCCCGGTTCCCAGGCCTACTGTGTCTTCCAGATCCTCTGTGCTGAGATACCCCAGATGGCTATGGCATGTCCCCTCTAAGCTTTCCCCAGACTGCCTGCTCTGTCCTGCGTGGCTCTTGTTATTCCTTGTGACTCCCAGTATCACTTTTCTCTGAGGCAAAACTCCTCTGGCTTCCAAGTAGACAAAGAACAGACCCATGCATATAGTGATTGATGGGTTCAGAAATCAGGGAGAAAAAGGAGGCAGGGTCAGAGGGAGGGTGGAATAGAACAGGGAGCCATGATTCAAGCTGGCCTTACAGTCTTCTGTTTATCTGGGGAATTACAAGGCAACGAGGTGACAGATATTACCATTTAATGCCACCCAGAGAGCTGACACAATTTTATCAGGGTCTCACAGTTAGTACAATGTAGGTAGGCTCAGGACCTAGACCTGCTCTCTGGCCCTAGAAATTTGCCCTTGACTTCACTATGTAGACTGAGGGGGGTTGGGCTAGGAGGAGGAAGCCATTAGAATGTTTCTTAGAAGGGCCTGCAGGTAAGTCTTGGAACTTTCTGGAACATAAGGGTTCTCAGTACTTTGTATTTGACCTCAGCTGTAAGACAGACTTCATCTGGGAACCTGAAACAATAGGAAGCCCCACCCAGGAGTCTATTTTGTGTGTATCATCTAATTTGACTGTCACAATCACTTACATGGTTAGTGTGTCACCGTGTGATGCTAGCTGCCTTAAAAACCAGGCAAGCATTCTGGTGGGATGATGGCTTTCCTTCATCTGATGCTCCTGGCCACTTACATGGTGACCCACCATTTTCTGGGGCACAGGGTCCTCTGCATCTATACTGTAGACAGAGATAGAGAACACCTCCCCCAGAGGCTGTTCCTGGAACCGTACTCTAACTTGTGCTCCATTGGTGAGGCTCATCCCATAATCACGTGTGGCTATAAGACAGGCTGGCAATGAATTGTCTTGCTGGGCAGGTGTCTCCCAGAGTCAATACCACACTATGGAGTCTTTGCTAAAATTAGGGTGACAACAGAATTCTCTAATCGAGGCTCTACAGGCTCTTTGAATGGGACACTCCAACCACACTCCTGCTGAGTGGCCAGCAGGCCATTCTCTGGCACCCCTGTCTCCTCTGGCTTTCTGCCATCAAACTGCAAGCTTGCCAAGAGTCTATTGGGTTTGTTTCCAAACTGGTCTGCACCAGCCACACTGGTTTTTGTAAAGAGGCAATTGAATTAGGCGTCCCATAAGCTGGTGAAATATGAGCACAAAGGAAGAGATTTGCTTTTTATGAAAGCTCAATAAAGACTTGTGATTTAAAAACCACTTTAAAATTGGGCATGGAAGGCACAACTCCGAAAGATCTGGAAAGAAATATCCAGGGGGCAGCTGGGGTGACAGTTCAATGGGTAAGAGCATGCACTGTCCTTTGGGGGTCCCAGGTATGATTTCTAGCACCACATCAAGTGGCTCACAACTGTCTGTAACTCCAGTTCCAGGGGATTCCAATGTCTCTGAAGGCACCCGCGCTTGTGTGCATGTGCATACATACATACACACACACAAACATATGTACGCATATGCACACACACGTGCACACACACAAACATATTCATGTGCATTCACATACACATGCACACACACACAAACACATGCATGTGCATGCACACACACACACACACACAGGGTACAAGTAAAACAATAACAATAATTTTAAAAAGAAAGAGCAACAAGAGTGTAGAACTCTGTCCTCCTGTTGTTCCATTAGCTGCCTGCCAGCCCCTGGGTGTTTTTCACAGATGGGGGCAATGTGTGAATCTAAACTCAAGGAATATATCGGAAGGAAAACACGTGTTTGTTTCTAATTGAATAAAATCTTCCAGGTGTGCCAGGCAGTGGTGGTACACACCTTAAATCCTAGTGCTCAGAAGACAGAGCAGCCTGGTCTAGAGTGAGTTCCAAGACAGCCAAAGCTACACAGAGAAACCCTGTCTTGAAAAACCAACCAACCAACAAACAACAACCCCCCCTCCACAAATAAACGAACATACACCTTCCATTTAAAAGGATGTCCTGGGGGTGGGGAATGGGTCTCTGTGTTAGATCGCTTATCTATTC